GATGACTTTAAACATTTTGTCGCCGATCAGCTACAAGACCCCGAAATTGAAGCCGTTAACTTTGCTAATGGGCGAAGAATTTCTAAGTTTGTGGTTGATTGTGAAGAGGAGGTGATACAGTTCTTGGATAAGTTCTATGACGTAGAGGATTTGAGTTCTTTAGCAAGGATTCTAAATGAAAATCCGATTGATATGTCCGTCGCATCAAATGACCTCATTTTTGTGCGGGCCCTTTTCGATCATTTTTTCTTCTTATATAAGAATGACATTCTGTTACGATCTATGTCTGAAACTGAGTTAAATATGTACGTCTGGACTCCATTAATTAGGAATGCATTTCTCGGAAAGGATGATATAAAATTAAGTTGCAGCGAATTAGCTACAAACTCATATGAAAAGTTAAAGGAAATCTTGAACATCGGCGGTCGCAGTGCTCCGAGATTGGACGGTAAGGGACTCCTCAAATCTTTGGGCACCGAAATCCTTGTTCAAGAAGATGGAGTTTTAGGTACCCGCGGTAAAAGAAAAGATGACCTTAAAGAACTGGAGTATTGCTCAAAAGTGATACTCACGACTCTGTTCTTCGCATTGCCATCGGAAGCCAAAGCTAATATCATAAGAATCGAGACATATAGCATTCAGTCCAATGGACTTCGCCTCACAATTTCCGTGTCAAAGTATTTATTCGAAAATACCATTATTACAATGGATCTGCAAGATATTGAAATCCCAAGAACTGTGGATGGATTCTCGAAATTGATAACGGCCACGAAAGTAATCCTTTCTTGGAAAGCTCGAACAAGAAAGAATACACAAGAATTTTACAAAGCGTTGAAAAATGGTCACAGACGTCTAGGGAATGGGATCCATTTTTCGCCCAAAAAGATGGCTATATAAATTAGAAATGGGTAGTGGAGATTCGTTGAAAATTTAGAAGAGGCTTTGACACCTGTTCTTTAGTATGAAACATTTTTTTTATTTTTTAATATTTAATTTTACTACGTTAATTCCAAAAATACAAATAATTTGAAAAAACACAATCATATTAATAAGAAAAATATTATGTTTACCCTCTGGTTGTGATTTACAATAGAAAGGGGTAAAAGTGTAACTTTTATTTTTTCTATGCAGTAAATAATAATAATAATAATAATAATAAAGTGTTCAATCAAATATATGAGGATTGGAAGCTAAAGAAGTATTATAACTCGATTTTTGGAGCACTAGAGATAATATAGTCTTCCTATATTTTCAAAATAATACATTTTTTCTATTTATCCCAATAAGTATTTTGAAATAATATATTTTTTCTTTATATTCAAAAGAATATATTTTCCTTATTTATCCCAAAGATATATTTTTTCTATTCATTCTATTTAATATTTTTGAATATTTTATCTAGAAGAAATCTTTATTTTCACCAGCCAATTATGATTTTATTATGCAATGCTATGAAGAAAGACTAAGAAAAAAAGTTTTAGAAAAATTTATGAATAAATATAACATATCAATGAAGTATATATATCAGATTTAGATGAAGAAGCTAATAGAATTGTCTGAAATCAATCAATAATTAAAACTTCTAGTATTGAATCTTATACTATAGTGAATTTCTTTAGAATCACATCATTAGTTAAAATAAAAGAAAGTTATTTCCTTTTTATCTATCTTATTACTAAAGAAAAATAGAAAATAAATAAAACAAATATAGTTTTTACTGAAACAGATAATATTATTAACAATATCTTTTCTAATAATAATATATTTAAAATAAGATCTGAACTTGAAAAAATATTAAAAGAATAGATAATTTTAATTTATTTATTTAAATTCATTTAGATTTGTTATTATTAATACAAATAAAGTTATAATTATAATATATACTTTTTAAAATTTAAAATTTATAATTTAACAAGTTTTTTTTAATATTTAATTTTTAATTTTTTGCTATATTAATATATCTTGAAATAATTTTTATATATTTATTAAAAAACTTTAATATTTAAGATATTATATTATTAATAATAAAAAAAATAGAAATATAATTCAAATATATTAATATTAATTCTAGTATTTTATAATATAATTTAATATTTAAACATTTTATTAATAAGTTTATATTAATTAATTTTTATAAATTTTATTTTTTTAATATTTTTTTTTAATTATAATATAAAATATATTTTTTTATTTAAAAATATAATTTAAATATTTTTATATTTTTAAATTTTTATAAAAATATTATATTTTTATGTACTTTTTATTTTAATACTCAAATTTTTAGTATTTATATATTTATATATAATTAAATAATATTTTTTAATTTATATAATCTTTAATCAGATTAAACTTCTATAAAAATAATTAAAACATTTTTTTAATATTTATTATAATTAATATTATATTAATTACTTTTTAGTTATTATTTAATTTTTAATAATATTTTAGACTGAGATAATTTGTATTTTTATATAATTTATTAAAATATTTGAAAAATAATAATTATTTTTATTATAACTATTATATTAATATTATAAATAATTATAATATTAATATTTATATCAGAATTATCTAATATATTATTACAAACTATATTTGTGAAAATAGATTTTATCAAGAATATAGTTTATAATAAGTTTTAAGAATGAAAACTAAATTATTTATAAAGATAAAGAGAATTATAATTATTCTAAAAATTTTCTAGTACCAATATTTATAAGTATTATATTGATACAAGATAAAAATAAAATAAAATAAAAATAAAGTTATAATCATAAATATTAAACTAAAAATAGATATTAAAACTAAAATAATAAATATTATAACTAAAAACAAAAGATCTAATACACTGACTAAACTTTTTAACAGTATCTTTTCAACCATTAGATAAATAAAGAGTATATATTAAAATAAAACAAAATTTTTATATATGAAAAAGCTTATAAGAATCTTCTAAATCAAATAAAATATACTTGGCTTATTTTAAATAGAGGATATTTACTATCTATATTTTTTAAACAAGAAAAATATGTGATTAACCAGAATATAATCTATATGATAGAAGAGATAATTGAAAGTAGGA